CGACACAGGAAAAAATCCTAGTGTGAGGTAACGTTTCTAAAAAAAAACTAAAAACAATTTAAACTCCAAACAACAGGCCTAAAGAGTTCCAGCCACAAAATAACTTCAAAATTTCATACCGTTGCGTGTAGAAGAAAAATTTAATAAGTACAAAAAGCGGAGTCCGTAACAAATATAACAGCACAGCACATTGTCTGTCTTAAACTTTATTAAGTCCGAAAACGTGAGATTAAAATGCCTACCTCCAGAGTTTTTATCTCGTTATTACTTCAACAGATGTGGACTTAAAAACTTGCTACTACGTACTGGCTTTTGTATTTTAGAAATTTCTGAGAATTATTTAGGTTCTCAGTACATAGAACATTTCCAAAAGAACTGTAGTCAATAATACTTGACACTCTTCCTATGGGTTCGAAAGTTGTCGATACTTTACTATCATATAATATACAACAACGTGTGATAAGACCGCTTATTGTACTCAAATTACTATTGCAATGTTTACAATTTTATTCTGTGTGTTCAATAAAGTATAAATAAATAAATACAAAACATCAGCAGCCTATAAGTGGCCACTGATGACCAAAGGCCTCTTCTCACACGGAGAAGGTTTGAGCATTAATCACCACGCTCGCTTATTACGGGTTGGCAATATAGTAGTTGACAACTAGTCAAATTTAATACTTTTACCGAAACGTCAAAAACGATCCTATTCTGTGAAATTTGTACGAGATACCAGTTTATGACGTCATGATATTTACGCACATTTATATCTAAAGAAAATGCTAGAATAAATCGAAAATTAAGTATATCGGCAAATCAATGAATGAAAGTGTAACTATTAATTTGACTTTGACTTTGACTTTAAACAATTTATTTTAACTACCCAATAATTAAACTTATAATTAGAAATTTTAAACTTAGGTTTCCACATGATTTTCCTTCACCGTTTGCCAGTGGTGTCTAAATAATCTTAATAATCATAAATTCATTCAAATGATGTATTCGATTCTTCCGATAGTAGTGTAGAGGTAGAGTATCCAAAAACTTGGCGGAAACCTTTGAGTTTAATAAGCAAATAAAACTAATTATGTTTCTAATTACCATAACAATATCAATGACTCCAGTGAACAAAATTGTTCTACATGCTACAGTCTACGCAATTAGGTACTTTCCTTAACTGGTCAAGTACCGCCATTATAGACACAATTATAGAACAATAGGTTGCGGTCACCGGTGACCGCTTGGTGTTTGACAGTTTAATCAAAAATAAATTATTTCGACTAAATAATAAATAAATAAATAAATCTTTATTCATTATAAGAATTCAACTGACTGAAGACTGTTTAATACAATAAAATATTAAAAAAGAATCATTCTTTTAGTAATTGATTTTATGACCAACAAAATTTTAGTACTTTTCCAGCAAACTTTTACGTAATAAGTATACTGTTCGACGCTAAAAAACGTGACGTCACAATACACAATCTCCTACAAAATTCTTCTATGAATTTTGTTAACTGTCGTCTTTGACAGGTTTTTTTTTTGTAAAAAAATATTGAATTTGACTAGTTAGCAAGTACTTAATTGAACATAACACTCACAATAGACTCAGTCATATTTAGAAGGTTAAATCAAGTTATAAATCAATTCAAAAGTGGCTTCTTAAGTACCGTCTCCATAATAATCCCCCACCGAAGCGTCGGGGATGGCACTTAAGGTAACAGATGGGGTGGCCTTTGTTTTGCCATGGACCACTTTGTACGAGTATCGTATTTCTTCACCAATATTGACTGTGATCAAAACGATTTCGATGTCAAAGAAAGAAAAAAGACTCCAAGTCTTAAAGTTACTGAGAGTTATTGGTATATTGCACAGTCATGCTATATTCATATATTTATCTAGTATCACGTATACATGACGCTGTTTCGTATGCCTTTTACACGATACTCAAAATAGGGGCAAGGAGTTCGATTTCAATTCCCGCGTCAAGCTAAGTATTACTGGGTTTTTAGAAAATACTCAGTAGTAGCACGGAGTCTGGAATTGTGCCCGGTATATGGTAATAGGCTCGCCCCTATTACATGGGACTCATTACATAACACAGTGGAAAGTGAGTTTTACGTTATATACCTAGTGGCATTAAGTGCCGTAATGTACACCTCTGCCTACCCCTTCGGTGATAAAAGGCGTGATGTTATGTTTATATCAAAATAGGGAGATATAGGTACCAATTTATAGGTACCTACATTTTATATACTTAATGTTATGCAATTAACAATTTCCGGACTCAGCAGCTGAATTCTACGTCATCTGAAATACAACCGACCAAACAGAAGTATGTCGAAGTTTAACTTAAAATAGAGAGCAACTACTGCAGCATTCAGCATTCTGCAAATACCTACGTATAGATACCAACTTCACAACTTAGGTACATAACATACAAACAACATTAACATGTCGCTCTGTAGTTGCATTGCAACAACGACACGACGACAACACACACCTCCGAATTTCAAACACAAACTCATTCCGCAAAAACAACTCTATACAACTCCCTTGTCTGTTACAACTAGCAGTAAACGTTGCAATCAAACTAGTTGCTATAACAAATGGACTAGGCGCTTCTACAGCGTTTCCCGTCTGACCGACAATTTTGGCATAACAAATTGCTTGCTGACTACGTTTCTGTGATCGTTGCATCGAAGTTCATTTGTGACTAAAATAAACTATAGGCATCATAACATAACATCATGCTTTTTATCCTCGAAGGGGTAGCCAGAGGTGCACATTATACCACATATTATTTATGTTATGAGTCCCATGTATAAAACAAATTCCTTCAAACTATTACATACATTTTACCTTTTACTTTATAAATCAAATTCTTACAATAGAATCGCAATAAACATAGATCTCAAACTATCGAAATTACAGAATGCAAATTTGAACACAATTTTCTCAATCATACACTCGGCATTATAAGATAACAAACAATAGTGTAGTAACATACCAACTATAGAAAGATAGAAAGAAAATCGTTTAATAGGTACACTACGACACACATGCAGTTAGCACATATAGGTACAATGATTTTGTCTAGTCCGAAACAAAACACTACCTACAACTTCGTTCTAGTCTAACTTACATTTATGATAGCTGCGCTAAGATCGCCTCATAAATGTTTACGGCAACCAGAATTGCTGTTCGTAGATGGGGATTCTATAAAAGAATTTCTGTCTAGATCTAGGTAGAACAGGAGATATACCTTTGTTGAATAGACAGATTTATCCGGACAGAACGTCTAGTTTTTAATAGAACACTATTAAAATACCGCTTTAAAAGTCTTCTTAGTTATGGAATAACGTCATGTTTCTCTTAAATTATCAACTTTAATATAACATAACATAACATCACGTCTTTTATCCCGATGGGGTAGGCAGAGGTGCACATTATACCTACCACTGTACATTGTAATGTAACACCCACTTTTCACTATTTTATGTTATGAGTCCCATGTAATAGGGGCTGAGCCTATTGCCATATTATATCGGGCACAATTTCAGACTCCGTGCTACTACTGGGCATTCTTAAAAAACTCAGTGATACTCTGCCCGACCCGGGAATCGAACCCGAGACCCCTTGCCCGGCATTCGCACTTGCGACCACTCCACCAACAAGGCAACTTTAACATCTTGTTAAATATGACCAATATTATCTTCTTTTTTAAATAAACCGTGCCCCACACTAGGATTTTCTCCTGCGTCGTGGTTGCGTTTACAAACATACAAGTTTACACATATGACACCCAGACCCGGAACACCAATTTGTGGATCACACAAAGAGTTGCTCTGCGCTGGGATCAAACCCAAATCAAAGCGCAAGCCACCGCTACAATTGTGTAATCATAGGTCTCGTATTGGCCTTTTTTTTTTAAGGGGGGAAAATCATCGAATGACTGCTCCCGCCTGGGTGAGGCGGGAGGGAGTGTCAGACTCTTACTGACTAAAAACCACCCCGTTCCTTCTCCTGCACGTCGAGCCGGAGCCCCGGTTACCCGTTACGTTCTCCGCGACTCTCGTATTGGCCTAGGATCATAACACTGTTTAAGAACATAACACATGAACCTAAGTAGTTTTGGCTTAGGGATAAAGTTACTAAAATTAAAAGCACAATCATTGTATTCAGAGATTCCAAACAGAGCTACCTGGACCATTATTTTAATTGCACCCACTGTCCAGTCTTTCCAGCTCAATATAGTGTGTCAACCATGATGAATGATACGCATTGAGTATTTGTTTCTAGTGCCTAAATTGAGAGTGATCGATGATAGTACCTACACGTGACAGTGGACATTTCAGGCAGAAAATACTAACCTATGTATGTATAGTTTCAAATTATTCATTTGTAATGTCAATTAGGTTGATATTACAAATAGTAAACAAGTTCAAGTTGATGGAAATTACTTTTTTTCAATAGGTAATTAATTATTTACGTTAACAGGTTAAGCTCAACAGATGCTACAAAATGAATCATTATTATAGATATATACCTACATCCTTAGTCGTTGTAGGTACTTTTCTTGAAAATAATAAGAGGGTAAAGGATACTTATTAAGTATAAATTACTATTTTCTTAACTATAGTATAAAAGAATGTGAATTTTGATAACTGGTCTCATTATAAAATTGATTAAAACTACACTGAATAACAGTGCAATTTATTTTTAGCTCATAACAAGTTTTAAGCTTAACAAACATAAAAACGAGGATAATATAATTATGTCACAGCAATATTAATAAAAAAATAATATAAAACATGACGCTAAATATAGTAACGCAAACTACATAAGTACTTCACTTAAACTTTAAAATTCAAGGTCTTGTTATTTGCGAACGAAAGTGCGCCTGTCAAGAGTAATGAGACAATCTTATTCAATCCATAATCAATTCAAGAGCACCTTGTTTTGGACATCGAGTTCCTGATTCTGCAAAACTGGATTATACATTTAATATATAAACAGGGAATATCAGAAGTATCTGCATCAGTTTTGTGCCAGACGTAGTCACAACAACAATACAGCAAAATGTTCGTGAAGGTAAATAAGTCTTTGATTTTACTTTCCAAAGGATAAATCGTAATTTTTAAAAGCTTTCAATCATCGAGTTTCTTTATAAATAGCTCCGGTAATAATTTCAAATTTATTATTCATGATTAGCCACGAAGATATTAAAAAGCGAGCGTTTTACCTGCTACATTGAATTCCGTTCAATGCTTTTAAATTTTCTATAGATGCAAATCATATTATAGATTGGATTGATGAATTGATTTATCTATAATTTCTCGATATTCTCTTAGATTTATCAAATAAAAAAAGTTAGTTCCCTCTAATATTGTTGATATATTAATTTCAGTTCGTCGCACTCCTCGCTTTGATGGCGGTCGCCAACGCCAGCGACCTGTCCAGCTTCGCCTACAGCGTGGCAGACCCCTACACCGGTGACTTCAAACACCAGATCGAGAACCGCGTGGACAACAACGTTGCTGGCCAGTACTCTCTGCTGGAGTCTGACGGCACCCGCCGCACTGTGGACTACGCCGCTGGTGCTAATGGCTTCAACGCTGTCGTACGCAAGGACCCCGCTCTCATCGCCGCCGCTCCCGCCATCTCCTACGCCGCTCCCGCCATCTCTTACGCCGCTCCTGCTATCGCTGCTCCTATCTCTTACGCATCTCCTTACGGTTTTGCCAAGTTCGGAGCTATCAGCTACGGATCCCACTACCCCTACAGCCGCTACTTGTACTAAATTACCACCTGACTTCGTTTGTAAATAAAATGTTTATAGATTTGTGACCGATGTTAATGTATTTATTTTTACCTTTCCTTTATTCTATCAATGAAAAGTTTTCCATTGTTTGCCCTATGCGAACTGAATACCCTGGACGCTCTAAAGCGATTAACTGTAGAAAACGAATGAATGTCAAAGTAAATTATCATAGCGTTTCCTGTACTAGCATACTTTGTTGACACACAGAACATAGATCCATTTACCAATTAATTTGCTATTCCCTTTGTTACAAAGGCTCCAAGTCGACAGTATACTTTAAATATGAACTATTTTGCGATTGACGTTGATAGTGGAATCGTGTTTTGTACATTTTAATGGCTGCATCGATACAGTATGGTGCCTCGCCAGTTCAAAAGCTTTTCTAAAATTGCTCTATCTCGGTCCCGATGTCTGCTTTAGGACCTTTGAGATCAGAGAGGAAAAATAAAGTAAATGTAAAAGGAAAGGTGTTTGTGATTTCTAGTTTCAATTTTCCTTACAAATAGAGCATTGTTTATTTAAATATACGGTTAATTCTAAGTTGTTTTGTTTATTCTGTTTGTGGTTCAGTTTATAATGATCGCTAGCATTGTTCTGCTCAGTGTGAAGACTATTTATAGTGCCTACGACCTATTTTCTACTCAGAACGTTTGCTGTGACATTCAACTGTAAATAATTGTTCTTAGTCTATTTTAATTATCAAAGGTATTTTGTAGATAATTAAGGAGTACAACGAAAGCAATTTACTTACTCCCTCTTGCGTTACTTGTGTGATTTTTGCTCTAGTATTATAGCTACTAGTAATATTAAATTTTGTCAATGTCAGTGGCCACAAAAGCGATTTTTACGAATTGTTTTTTAAGGATCTGAAATCATATTAAAATGTACATAGAACGTGTACTTAGTACATAACATTTAGTGTTTCCTCGAGGGAAAGACAAAATGGCTGGATAGACTCGATGTTATCCTGTTCGAATGTTATAAGCTTCGGTTGTAGTTGATTCTCTAAGGCAAGAATATACAATACTTAGAATATTTCAACCACGGCAAGCAGAGAGCTCAACTGGCTAAAATCCTCGCGGCTGGAAACCGAAAATGACAGTTTTTCACTATATCTCTTCTCGTTCTTGTCGTACCGGATTTTCTTTCAAATTAATCTCCCGTGTCTAGCCACACATTCTAAACTTTATTCGGATTTCAATAAAGTCTCATGTAATTCGACTACAATACGTCTTGTGGAACACCGAGACCTACGTATGGATCGTGTTTAAACCCACTAACAGGCTTGGCAATTCAAATTAAAACGTAAGAGTAAAATGGTACTTGTAAAGTAATTTGTATGTAATTATTATTTTGTGGAGTATTTATAATATTGCTTCCAGTTTTTTAATCGGACAATCAGGTACTTAGGTTTTATTTTTCAGGCTATGTGGATAATGTGAGTTCTGATTGATTAATTGCTTACAATTAACATTTTATGTGAAGTGTGTTCTGTTTAAAAAAGTTTATTTACTTGATAGTTAAAGTCAAAATCAAAATCATTTATTTCAATTAGACCAGGTAGGCACTTTTAAACGTCAACAATATAAATTTAAAAGTGAAGCTATTTGATAGTATAAGAAGAACGTTATTGAAGAAATATCAACAGTTTGATATTAATATGTTCTGAAACAATATTTTGCAGATTCAAAGATATATTACGTACTATTTGCGAAATTCTTCAAATTCATTCGTGAGCTGAAAGGTTTGAATCTAGGCTTCACAACGAACTTAGCGATTTTAGCTTCCATGAGATACGAAACAGACTGACCTTGTTTTAAAATGAGATATTTCATGACTATGATTTAACCCTTTGAGTACCGTCATTATAGACACAATTAAAGAACAATAGTATGCGGACACCAGTGTCCTCGCGGTGTTTGACAGTTTAAAATACAAAATTTTTACAGAAATCGTAATGACATGTATTTACTGAAGTATAACCTCACTTCAAACAATCAACATAATGGACATCCATCGACAACCGATGTTTATAACAATGACAATAATTCAATTCATCATTTCAACCCTCACTCGCTAACGTAGTAACCTTTCTTTACCTACAAACTTGGTCCTATTGTCCCATTTCACGTCCCAGCTGCGTTTACGGCCAGTTGCGACAATATTGCCTTCTTGCAAGATCTGATAAATAAAAAAACTTCTGCCTAAGATGTTTTTATGGGACACATTTTAAGTTGGGTGTTGAAATATGGAAGAAGAAATAGATGACCTTGGATACGGGGTCGAGTTTCTGCGTACAGGAATATTTTGTAGGCCGTTGAGACAATACTGTTGCCTGATAAGATACTTTATAACTTTGGTTTGTTACTTTGAAAGTAGAATATATTGTGATGTGATATTATTATGGAAATATTGCACAAATAAAGAACTGTGAAGAGCGTTGACATAAGATTGAAGCTAGTCGGATCGAAGGACCAACACTTCCAATTTGGTCTTTTGATCAGCACTCAACGAAATGTAATGGAATGAATGTAAAAAATATTGTTTTATCTACCTACGTTATTAAATAGGGGGGTACGCTTCTCGCTCTAAATGTGTATTTACTGGATGCGTTTCAAAATACCGTATTATTTTAAATCGAACCCAATAATACTTTTAAGTGATCTGGGAACAATTTTTTTTTTTTATTAATTTAACAACACAACATTTAGTTGTAGATCAAAGTTATCTAAGACACTGAACTGATAAAAAAGCTGTTTTTATTTTGTTATTTATTTATAAATTGACCTTCAATTAATTAGCTTCTCATTTACAACTTGTTAATATTGAATGTAGGTGTAAATAAATTGTGCCTTATAAATATTGTTCATGATATTATTATAATATGCCTTGTCCGTCGAGTGGTAGCAAGCCCCTATGGGAATCTGCGATACGATTTCCAGGTTAATTAATTATATCTTTTAGTTCCGAAAACTTCGGTGGAAGTGCACATTGTACAATATTAATGCAAAATTTACTTTTTGAATTATAGGTTACAAACTGTGTCCGACTAAATGTGGGAGAGCCATAAGCAAAAGTTTAACAACTAAACCTGAGACTAGTGTCTGTTGTAGGTGAAACCTGTATCACAGATCATCAGGCCATCCCAATGACACAATTAGTTACTAAGATTGAAATAATACTGATATACATTACGTGCACAAACATTAAGGTTATTATTATTATATGGTATGTCTTTACCATTCACGGGACCACAGGGTCCCGGTCATTTGGGCGGCGTACGAGGGGCCGAAGCCAATTGCGCAGAGGCCCTTTAGACAACTTTAATATACATGTAATGGACACACAATATTATTATTACAATCATCAGGTACAACAATTAAATACATAACACAGTCAAACATATATTTGGTGTAAATAATAAGTTCCTGTTGATATTAGCTATTATGATTAGACGAATGTATAAAGACGAAATTGGTCAATAAATTAAACAACATCCTAACATAATATGCCTTTGCCTTCAATGTGTCGTTCACTCCAAGTTATAACAAGACATAATAATAGTTGGGAATACTACCAACTGCCTTGTGGACTACAGCAATTAGTTAGTCTATAAATATCTATGAATTGTTGTTTTAGTACGGGACTAGAAGCTTGTTAGTAATTATATTGTAGGTTACCTTAGGTACTGGTTACATTAGGTAACAATGTATGACTTTAGTTAACAATATATAACCTGTGGTGACGTTAGTAACAATATATAAATGTGTCTTGGTGGCCCGGAGGTTTAAGACGCCCGCTTCTCATGGGGTGCAGGTTCGAAACCTAGCAACGGCAAGTTCCAATGTAACTTTTTCCGAGTTATATGTACTTTCTAAGATTATTTAGACACCACTGACAAACGGTGAAGGAAAAACATCGTGAGGAAACCTGGGCTTATCATTTCTAATTATAAGTTTGTAATCGCCAACCCGCATTGAGCAAGCGTGGTGATTAACGCTCTAACCTTCTCCGTGTGAGAAGAGGCTTTGCTCAGCAGTGGGCATTTATAGGCTGTTGATGATGGTGACGTTAGAGTCGGATACGTTTATCACTTCTCAACCTGAGGTAAGAGGTGAACAAGGGACTACATATTTTTTATTAAGGTATATTTGATGGGCCGACGTTTTACCACTATCTCACTTGGTGGTTAGCGATGATGATATTATATATATATTTGAACACTCTTTAATAGGACTGTTATGGCATAGTTTTCTGATAGACGTGAACCTTTTGAGCTAGACTTTTAACCTATTTGCTAATATGCATCGAGATAATGGCAAATCCTCTTGCAGAAGAGTCACTTACCCATAGTCTAGTAGTGTACTGATACTGATAAGTGATGATCATGTCATATGAGGTTCAGAAGAGACAGTATCAACAATATTTACTTTTATAAAGATTAAGTTTCCAAAACATATCCAAATACACTATATTGATTACGTACTAATTCCTTTACTTAATTGACATAACATCACGCCTTTTATCCTCGAAGGGCTGTGCACAGGTGCACATAATGCCACTGTAACATCCACTTTTCACTATTTATGATATGAGTCCCATGTAATAGGGGGTGAGCCTATTGCCATATACCGGGCACAGTTCCAGAATCCGTGCTACTATTGAGATTTTTTTAAAAACCAACTAATACTTTGACCGACTCGGGAATCGAACCCGAGACCTCTTGCACAGCAGTCGCACTTGCAACCACTTGGCCAACGAGGCAGCCTTAATTGGCAGCAACTTAATTGAAAATAATTTAAAATGAGATAATACAATAATTTTCTACACACCTTTCAATTTTATACAGTAAAGATTTTCTATTCAGCTCTTTTCTGAAATAGCCTGAAACTAAAATAGAAGTCCAATACTCGTTCGTGAGTGGCTCTCGATCAGGTAACAACACTTACACTGACCTGCATCACTGCCTACCCCCATTTCTTCGTGCTACTATTGTTATATCAACAAGGAACCCGATTGGATCGTCTCCG